AATGTAATACTAATGTTAAAATAATATTCATTTTTTATTTTTTAAAAATTTTATTACAAATTATAATTAATATACTGGTATATTTTAAAAAATCCTAAATAATACGGGGCAGGTTTGCTTTTGATTTCGAGAAGCATACTGAAGATGATGGTTTCTTGAGAGTTGTTGGATACTGGTGTTTGGAAATTTGGAATGCGTCCAATGAATTGATTTGGGGTTTAGATAATGTCATATGGATTAATTTAATTAATTAATTGATAAAATTAAAGTTAAATTTTATTTTTTTATATAATTTAATGATTAAAAGTTACATTAATTCTATTTTTATTTTGTATCTTAAGGAAACTCATATATTTTTAGCTACACGTTTGTGTTTATTAATAAATAATTATTATTTTATAGGTTATCAACAACTTATAGATATGAATAAAAAAATTTCGATTTTTCTTAAATAAAATTTAAAATTCAAATTTTGTAAATAAAAAAATAAGTGTTATGAGAATTTTCTCTTTACGAGATCCAATGCAGTTCATTTTTGAATTAATCAAAATCAATGTAATTACTAGATGCCTCACTTCAAGTCCTAAGGATATTATTTAAAGAATTTAATTTTTTTAAATGCATTAAATTAATGTGAAATATGTGCTGCACAACAACTAATTCAAAAAATATCCTAATCATAATTAATAAAAAATATATTATTATTATTATTATTTTATTATTATATGATGCTTACTTGATGCAACGCGAACTTAGAGGTCTATATGGAGGTAAATCTATTTGAACTTTTGAAGTTATAAGATTGAATATTAGGGTTGGAGAAAATAGTAAGTTAACCTAAATCAAAACAGAATGCCCATCCTCTTTGAAGCACATGATCACAAAATAAGCCTTTGAAAATCTGAACCTTCTCAAAATAATACTAACGCATTATTCAAGGAGATTTAATGATTTATGAAAAATTAGATAACAAAATCGTTAAAATGCTAGCAAACATAAAAGAACCTTTATCAAAGTTCAATTCGAGACTGTCACTGTCATGCGTAATCATTTTTTGAAATTTTGACATGAAACAAAACATAAGTCTCCAGGTTGCTTGAGTTTTTAACACGGTTTTCATTTTCAAAGTCAAGTCAAGCACTAAAGTTTTTTTTTTTTTTTGGGTGAAAGAGAGACATGTATTAAAAAACAAACAGATAATACGCTATGGCCTGGGATTAAATTTGAATTTTGAAATAAGAGGACAAGAATTTGGGAGAGAAAAGACTATTTTCTATTATATAGTTTATTAGTAAAAAAAAAATTTAAATGATATATTAAATATATTTTTTATCATAAATATATATAAAAAAATATAAAAATTAATATTAATTTTGATATCATATAAATTTAATTAAATAATTGATAAATTAAATATTTATTTTTGTTGTTTTAATACTTAAAGATACAAATTAGACAAATCTCGAAAAAGATTAATACTACGACCCTTCTTGATGGTTTCCTTTTTAAATGCTACCTTGCACCTAGACCTTCACTTTCTTTGTAACTTGCAGATTGGTTTCCTTTTAGATGATACCATGCACATAGGCCTTCACTTTCTCGGTAACTTGCAGAGCATTGACTATTATAACAATCAACGGTAGAATTTTGGATACAAAGTATACATATTTTCCCCGCCCACATTGCTTGAATTTTCTGGCATTAAATTTTCTCTTTGACCTACAAATAATATGGAGGTAAGTTTGTACTTGAATTTTGTGATCCGATGATTCTATATCCCGTCGAAGATGTATCCCTTTTAACCCTTATGTTAAGGTTCGAATTCTCTCACTCCGAATGTAATCCGTTCAAATATATATATATGTATATATATATATATATATGTGTGTGTGTGGAAGCAGGTTTGCTTTTGATATTCGAGAAGCATATTGAAGATGATGGTTTCTTGGGAGTTGTTGGATATTGGTGATTGGAAATTTGAAATGCATCAGGGCGAATTGATCTGAGGTGTAGATACTGCCTGGCAGGTGTATTCAACATAAAAAATGAAGAAGCGTGAAGAGTTTAGGTTTGGTGGGTTGTTCAGTAATCAAGTTACAAATTCTGGTGACAATATATATATTTCTAACTGCACAATTAAATTTACAAATAAGTAAATGTTATCTTATAAATTATATTTATAATTTAAGTTTTAAGACTAATACTTAAAAAATTAATTTTTTTAAATGTATTAAACCAACGTGGAGTGCACTATTAAGATTGTCATTACTCAAAAAGATATTAATTTCGAAATATATGAAAATTAATATGAAAACACTTTAACCATAAATAATAAATAATAATATTATTATCATAATTATTATCATCATTGTTTTTGTAGGATGTTTACTTGAGGCAGATCTATTTGAACTTCTGAAGTTGAAAATTTGAAGAATAGGATTAGAGAAAATAACAAGCTATCACCTAAATCAAAACAGAATGCCCACCTTCGTTGAAGCACAAGACCACAAAATAAGCCTCTAAAATTAGGGTCTTTTCAAAATAATACTAACATGTTATTCAAGAAGATTTAATGATTTATGAAAAAATTAAAGGTAAAATACCTAAATCCACCCCTAAAATATAGTAGTAGGGACGGATTCACTTCCAAACAAAAAATGGGACAGATCCACTCATAAAGTTTTTGACTTGGATAAATCACCTCAAATTTAACGTGTAATATCATCTAACATCAGCAATCCGTTAATTCGTTAACGGATTGCTGACGTTAAATAACGTCAAATTAACAGATTGCTAATGTCAAATGTCGTCAACGTTAAATTTGAAGTGATTTGTCCAAATCAAAAACTTTGTGATTAGATTTGTCTCCATTTTTTGTTAGGGTGGATCCGTTCCTGTCACTATACTTTGAGGGTGCATTTAGGTATTCTGCCAAAATTAAAGAACAAAATTGTTAAAATGCTAGTAAACATAGAAGAAGCTTTATCAACGTTCAATTGGAGACGCTGGCTGTAGGTTTCGATGATAACTTGTTTTGGGACTTTAATTTTTAGTTTTGATTTTTTTTTAATTTTAAAGACATATAAAATATTAATTGAAATAAATATTAAATATATTATATATGTTTTTAAAATGTTATATGATTAGAAAATTAATAATTGCAACTATAGGCGAGCACTATTAAATTAAGCCCCTTTTTTTTTTTTTTTTGAAAATTTGGCATGAAATAAGACATAACTTTCCAATTTTCTTGATTTTTCTAGACGGTATTGATTTTCAAAATCAAGTCAAGCACTGAATTGTCCCTAAACTTTTTGTTGGTACCATTTTTGTCCCTCAACTGTTCAATTTAGTACAAAAAAGGTTCTTCTGTTAAAAATTCCATTACCTTTGACGGTACCAAATTTTTTTCAATTTTGGTCTCTCAACTTACATCATATTGACATTATAGTTCACATACTTCTTTTTTTTCAATTTGGTTCTAAATTTCAGTTTTTCCTACCAATTTAGTCACCTAATTTTTAAAAATTTTGGCAATTTAATTCTCAAATTTTGATTTCTTACAATTGAGTTCTTTTTGCGATGAAGACAAAAGTCATGCGGTGATATCAAGGTTAAAAAACATCATGATATAAATTAACCCACACAAATTCAATTAAAAGTAAAGCTAAAAAACACTGAATTCTACATTAAAATTCAATCAATCAAGACACTAGTAGACTTTAAATTCAACACTACCCATTCAAAAAATAAAAAGGCTCTTTTCCAATTGCCCAAATCATCTTATGCTTTCAATAAACAACGTATCAGCTTCAAGCAGCTCATACTTGTTAGAAATTCTAACTTAGAATTAAATAAATCATTCAGA